CAGCCCCCCAGCTTTCCTGGTTGTCGAGTTGAAAGTGGGTGACAAAATGCACTCGCTTTGCGAACAGACACACACACACACGCACACACACACACAGACAGCCTCTCGACAATATGCGTTTTTGTTGGCTGTACGGCAAAAACGCATAAAAACAAAGAAACACAATTAGAAAATTTTTCAATATTTAGTAAAGAGTAATATCATAATGGACCAAAGAGAGGTGGAAGTAATAAAGACAAAGGAAAATAACGATTAAACAAGTGCAGTGGATAGAAAAGGAAGGCACTTATTAAATGAATTAGTCATTAAAAAAAAATTGTGTAGCGAAGAGCAAAGAATTCAGAAGAGGAATGTTTTGATTCATGAAGTCGCATGCCACCACAGCTGAGCCTCGCTAGTGAGGTTCTTAGCAAAAATTAAGAGTTGAGAAGTATATGACTTAATGGTACGAAAAGTCTTATCTCACGCTTATTCTCCTTCCCTTTCATTGTAATCTAACACGCCATTTTTCTTCATTCAAGCTCCGAGGATCAACTTGGTTGCTACAGTTTGCTTAAGAAAAGAAGGACGAAGACAGGAAGATCCAGTGCAATGTACCGAAAGAGGAGGAGGATGAAACAATTAAAAAGCGAAAAAATTCGTAAACTATAAAAAAATTTGTGGAAAATAGACGTTTCACGAAACTGAAAGTTAAAATCGTCGATGGACTAGCAACCATAAAATGCAGTACTGGCCGCAGCGTCTGGAAAGGTTGCCAACTGCAAATAATTGGAAAAGCAATCTGTGTTTTACAGCTCATCCAGAGAAATCCGCGGAAGTGCATGCAGGCGCCCTCTGGTGTATAGTACCATTGCACTTTCCAGTATTTCAGGAACTAGTGCCTCTTGTTCCAGTACATAAACTTTCATTGTGTTGCTATACATTGTGTTCAGAAAGGCACTGATCTTCAGCGCACAAATCGTTCGTATCGAAAATCCGGATAAAGCGACCGCTAAAAGTTAATTCTACGTTTTATGGATTTGTAGTGGTTGTGCCTTTTTCATGTATGCAAATGCAAATTTTGTGTGCGTGTATGTGTGTGTGTAGGTGTATGTATGTGTGTGTATATGTGTGTGTGTATGCGCTTGTGCAAGTATTTCAACTCGGCAACCAATCAAACTTCAGTGCTGAAATTTTGCCAGTGGGTTTTCCGGTTAAGTGCCACCCCAAGACCGTAGTGCCAACCTTTACGAACTTCTGAACCTTCCATACGAACAAATGAAAGTTTTGGCGGGAAGATCGCCAACTCGGGAACCAGAAAAGCTGGGAGGCTGAAATTTTAAGGGGATGTTCCCAGCCATCTGCAATTTAAAGATTTCAAATCTAACGTAGAATTTGAAGATCTCTTTAATAAATCATCCCAAATGAGAACTGTTTTGCCCCCTGAGAAACTTTCTAATCACTTCTTGCTTAACGAGGTCTGAAAGGGGAGTTTAGTACTAATTCTATTACTACATAATACGGGTATTGTATGTGTATCAAGTTATCATATTGTGTCACCTATGTTATATTGTGATTCGGAATCAAGGAACAGCTGCTAATGCACGATCTGGTTCTCTATCTGTGGAGCTGGTAACTTTCCCAGTAACTTTGATAATGCTGCCAAACTCTGTGGTCAGCTTGCTAGTGATCTTAATGATCGTTTTTTCTTTTTTAAAATATTATTGATTTGATAACGATTATCCCACCAATTATTCGAATATAGTTATCTCGCCAAAACCATCTGGCAGCATTCTAGCCGTTTCGAGATAGTAGAATAGAGGGACTGGACTAAGTGTCATGTGTAAGAAGAGATGCAGTCTGTTTTTCATCTCTTAGCTGCAGTAAACACAGACCGAACTTTACAAACAAACTGTATATGTTAACATATAGAGAGTTTCAGGCCCTGGTTCTCTTCCAATTTCCATGCCAAAAATATTCACTGTTTGTATTTTTAAAATTTCTACTACAGTTTTTATCATATTTTGTATTGAGAATGTCCATCACCTCGTCGCGATCACTGGTCATCCAGTGACCACCACGAGTTACATATCCAGCTGGTCGTGTTATGTTGCTGTTGTCGTTCTTCACTGTTTATTATTGCTGCATATTCGAGGCTTTTTCCGGCGAACGGAAATTTCACGATTTACTCGGAACTTTCCCGGAAATACCGAATTTTCAGGAAAAAGTAAGAGAGAGCAGAGAGAGCGCGTGAAAAGAGGAGAGAGAAGAGAAAAAAAGTGGAGCGAAAAGAGATGGTTGGTTTGCAACAGCAGCGTCTCAAGGAGGAGCATCGGCCTGATGAGAATGTGGAGGCGGCGGTGGCGGTGGCTGAAGGCGTAGAGCAGAACGGAGGCGGCGGTGGTGCGTCGTCAAATGGCACACCCGGTTCGCCGAAGACGCGACTCGCAATGCTCAAACGCTCCTCCACCAAATCCAAAGGTTCCTCTTTCTTTTTTTGTTTCC